AGCAAAAAACGAACATAGTTTCACGTGGAGTTTCCCTAGTCTTGAGTCCTGGCCAACAAAATTCCGCACAATGTTCCCTTCGAAATCCGGGACGAAATCATCCTGGACAATCCGGGTCCATCCCATTGTTTCCCGAACGAAATCCGCTCTGTGATGTTGGCACCTCCTCCTCCTCCTACTCCTCCTCCTACTCCTCCTACTCCTCCTCCTCCTCCTCCTCCTCCTCCTCCTCCTCCTCCTCCTCCTCCTGGTACGCGACACCGAACTGTCTTTTTGTCCCCTCGACTGAGCCAGCCTCAGTCTGTCGACCCGCCAACCTGCGGCCGCGGTGCGCGGACGCCCGGAGCCCTGACCCCCTCGCGGGGCCGGCATCCCCTGCTCGGCCCCAAAGGGGAGGAGCGGCGCGAGCCCAGGGGACTGGCGCAGAGGGAGACGGAGGAGGAGGAGGAGGAGGAGGAGGAGGAGGAGGAGAAGCAGGAGGAGGAAGAGGAGGAGGGGGGGGGAGGAGGAGGAGGAGGAGGAGGAGGAGGAGGAGGAGGAGGAGGAGGAGGAGGAGGAGGAGGAGGAGGGGAGGAGGAGGAGAGGAGGGAGGAGGATGAGGAGAAGCAGGAGGAGGAGGAGGAGGAGGAGGAGGAGGAGGAGGAGAAGGACGAGGAGGAGGAGGACGAGGAGGCGCCTGGGCAGACCGCTGCAACCCCGCGGCTCAAGCTCGCCCATCCTCAGCAAGAAGGAGCCAGCACGCTGCTCGCAGGAGAGCTCGCTCGAGGCGGCTCGGGAGGCCTCCCCTGTCAGGCCTCCGCTCTGGCAGCCCAGGAGCCTGCCACCCCTGTCGGTCACTTCACCGCGATCATCTGCCCGATCTCCTGCAGCAGGGCCCGTCCCCGCTCCCCGAGGGCGACGGGCCGCGCATCGATGCACGTGACGTTGGTGCGGGGCTCGCCGTTGTAGCTTTCGTACCTCGCGCGCACCGTCAGCTGCACCGGCTCCTGCATGTACGCCCTGCGGATGGCGGACTCCAAGGCCTCGCGGCCCTCGCCGACTTCGAAGGCCTTCACCTGCTCGGCGCTCAGGCCCACCACCTTCTGCGCGGCCTCGTGGAAGGTGGTGAGCCACGGGCTGTCGGCGAAGTCTGCGAACTTGCAGCGGAGGTTGAGGCGCGGCGCGGCCCGCCCGGCTCGGTTGCAGGCCGCGCAGAAGCCGCTCTCGTCCACGCGGCGGTTGCACGGGAGGCCACTGCCCTCCTTCGGCTCCTGTCACCGAGCGCGTCCCACTGCTCGCAAAGTGCCTACTCGCAAAGGGCCCTAAAAACAAACGCTTGCCTCGATGTAATGTATCGCAGATCCCCCTCGGCGGAGCCGGGCCATTTGCGGGCAGTTACTCTGCGGGTGGTGGAACGCGCTTGTCTATCCTGGCAGCCCATGTAGAACATGGGCTGGGCCTCGCCCTGCTTCCTCATCTGCACCTGGGCCAGGCGGGCGACCACCGTGAACACCTTCCCCTGGTCGCCGAGCACCTGCTCGGCGTGGCGCCGCATGTCGCCGAGGTCCTCCACGGGTGTGCCAGAAGGCCCGCGGCCGCCGGGGCCCGAGACGGACAGGGTCTTGATCTCCTTGCTCGAGCCACCCTCCGACCACCACTGTTTCATCTTCTGCACCTCTGGCAGTGCGGCGTCGAAGATGAGGTCGCCCCCCTCCAGCAGCGAGCCGCTGCGGCCGCCATTCCACACCTTGACGGCCACGCCCTTCATCACCACGGCGGGATGGTCAGCGAACGTCGTGTCAGGCTGCTTCGCGCGCTCGCCCCAGATCGTGACGGCGATGCTGGTCGCGGTGTCGTCGGTGAGGGTGACCTCGCACTTGACGAGCTCCTTGCCGTCCTTGGAGGTGAAGGCCAGCATGGGCTGGAAGCCCGAAACGACCCCGCACAGGTCGGCCGTGAAGGGGGTGACCCGCGACTGGATCGCGCGCAGGTCCGTCAGCTTGAAGACATGCTTCCCGATCTGGGCCACTTCCTCGACCTCCTCGATCCTCGCGCCCTTGTCGAAGGTGATCTCGTAGCGGTGGTTGCACGTGTTGAACTGTTTGTTGGCGACGCGCAGGCTGCCGCCCGAGAATGTGAAGCACTTGCCCTTGTCCAACTTGGTGTGGAACTGGTCGACGGCGTCGTTGAAGAAACTCGCGCGGATCTCGCCCCCCTCCGCGTCGAGCAGTTCCACGTGGAACACCTTCCCCTCGCCGTTGCCCTTGCGGAAGGTGCGGATCTGAGCCTTTGACGTGACCCGGGCACGGATCGTCCACTTGCTGTTGTAGGTCGAAAGCTCGCTGATCGGAAAAAACGACCCCTGCATGGCGGCCATCCTCGCTGCTGGACTTCGCGCGGGCGGGCGCGGCACGGTGCGCAAAAGGGCGATTGAGGCAGAACGGCTTGAGCCAAAATGGCTACGGCGCGCTGCCGAACTGCGACTGTGTAATGACTCCCCTCGGCGGGCAACAGCCGAGCCGTGAACGTTGTCAGAGCGGGGCGCGGTGGGGGTCGCAGCAAGGTCGGCCACGCGCCCTTGGGACTCTCTGAGAGGCCCCCGCGCGCCCGAGGAGCCCTGGCCACAGCGTGCGCGAGGGGGGCGCGCCAGACGCCGCTCCTATTCGACGGCTTCTGGCCCTCGGGGCCCGCTCTCCAGTCATCGCTCGGACGTCCATCTCCTGTGTTTGTCTTCGGTTTCGTGCGTGGCTTCTACGCCACATGATCAAGGATGCTCCTCGATGGTCCTCGCCGAAAGAAAAAGGCACACGTCCGAGCGCTGCCGAGCTCATGGGGCCCCGCTCTGGGAGCCCCGCGCGCCCTGGTGCTCTGGGCGGCCTTCTCCGCGGCGGGCGCCACGCGCCCCGTTAATCATCGGGCCTGCGGGCCACCGCCGGCGCCCGCCTGTGGGGCGCCCTGCCCCGTCGCCAGGAGGGTGCCCCAGGCCTCGGGCGCAGCAGCGCCCCTGCCGGCAGCGCGGGGGCGCCAGGGGGGGCTGAAGGGGTTGGGCGCTCTCCGAGGCCGAGAATTGAGAAGAACCCTCGGTCGTGTCTTCCCCCAATCAGGGCTTGCACTGAAGGGGCCCCCGCAGAAATCGGAAGATCATGGCGAGAGTTTCCGGCCGATGTTGGCAGCCGGCTGGGTCCCTGGCGCCGGGCTCCCAGGTTCCTGGTTCTTGGCTCCGGGCCGATCTCGGTGGGTTCCCGGGCTCCCGGGTGCCCACTCATGGACCTCCTCATCGATCAAGCCGTCCACTGGTTGGGCTTCTTCCCTGGTGCAACTTCTCACTGCTCCCTGACTCCGGATCCGCCCTACTTTGGGGAAAATCGTAAGTAGGGCTTGGAATTTCCGCCTTCCCTCACTCCAGATCCGCCCTACTTTGGCTGTTTTTCCAACTTAAAATTGCGTCGGAAATCCACCCAGAAGAGGCCGAACAAGTAGGGCGGAAGTTGCTGCACCCAACATAAAATAGGGCGGAAATCCACAGAAAGAGCAGCAGACAAGTAGGGCGGAAATTGGCATCAGCGGGGCTTGAAAAGTAAGGCGGAAATTCCAAGCCCCACTTACGAATTTCCCCAAAGTAGGGCGGATCCGGAGTCAGGGTTACTTTTCAAGCCCCGCTGATGCCAATTTCCGCCCTACTTTTCTGTTGTTGTTTCCGCCCTACTCCTGTGGATTTTCGCCCCATTTTATGTCGGGTGCAGCAATTTCTGCCCTACCTTTTCGGCCTCTTCTAGGTGGATTTCCGAGGCAATTTCAAGGTGGAGAAAAAGCCAACGTAGGGCGGATCTGGAGTCAGGGCTCGAGGGGTCTGGGGTCTGGGGGGAGGTGGCGTCCCCGGCCCGCCGCGCCAGCCCGCGGGCGGGGGCCTCGCCGAGTCGGCTCCTGATGGGACACGGGCCCTGGCACTGGACCCTGGGGCCCTCCCCTGGGACGAGATCGTCGCGCCGCGCCGCCTTCTGGCAGCCCCCCGGAGGCCGCAAACAAGGGAAGGGCGACGACGATGACGATGATGCTGATGATGGAGATGGCGATGGCGATGGCGATGACGATGACGATGAGGATGAGGAGGATGAGGATGAAGATAAGGATGAGGATGAGAATGATGATGATGACGATGATGATGGCGATGATGCTGGCGATGACGATGACGTGATCGTCATCGTCATCGTCCTCGTCATTCTAATCATTATCACCATCACCATCACCATCACCACCATCACCATCACCATCACCATCACCATCACCATCACCATCACCATCACCATCACCATCACCATCACCATCACCATCACCATCACCATCATCATCATCATCATCATCATCATCATCATCATCATCATCATCGCCATCATGCTCATCATCATCATCACCACCATCACCATCACCATCACCACCACAACCACCATCACCATCACCACCATCATCATCATTAGTATCATCATCATCATCATCAACATCATCAACATCATCACCATCATCATCATCACCGTCATCATCATGGCCATCATCCGCATCATCATCATCATCATCATCATCATCATCATCATCATCGCCACCGTCATACATCGTCATCGGGGGAGGGCGGCAAGCCAGGTGAGCTCGCGTTGCAATCAACCCGTATAATAAGGATGATGAGGATGCAAGGACCCTGGAAGGCCATGTCGACACTCTGCGAGCGGGGCGCAGCCAGCGACGGCGGCCAAGGCTGGGCCGAAGGGGAAGGATGCAAGGGTAACCCTGGAAAGTCGCTCATCCTTACTGTGCGGGTTGACTGCATATCTTACGTACCCTTCCCTCCCATCCCTTACCATTGAGCAGAGCCCCTCTCAATTTGCAGCCGGGTGTCGAAGAGGACAGCGGTCCCAGAAGGGTACGCGATGCAAAATATGGCATGGCACTTCGTAGTCACGCAATGCGTAGCAGGGTACGCATGGCGGCACATAACATAGCATTGCATGACATACCATTGCATGGCATGGCATGGCGTGGCACTGCGTAGCCCAGCGTTGCACATCACAGCAGTACAGAACAACGGATATAATCGTGGTTGCGTGAACGGTGCAGACGGGAAACCACACTGAAGGACCGACAATCTGGAGACGAGACCGGTGCTGCAGCGGGAGCACCCTCCGGAAGGACCGAAAACGCGGAAATGAGGCAAACGCTGCGGTGGAGGACCCTTCGGAAGGATCGGAACGCGGAAATGAAATCAACGCTGCAACGGGAGCACCATTCGGTCGGAAGGATCGACAACGTGGAAATGAGTCCACCGCTGCAGCGGAAACGCGCTATTGAAGAACCAGAAGCGCGGAAATGAGGCCAGCGCTGCAGCGTGAGCCAGGAGCACCATTTGAAGGACCGGCAACAATCGGATGCAATGTCTTCCAGACAGGGTCAGGGGAGAGAGGAGAGTAATGCTCCGAATGTGGACATGCAGCGGGGGGGGGCGGGGCAATTCTGCTGCATCGTCGGCGGATATCGTCTGTCCCACGGCGCCACCGTCCACGCCGAATCCGCGTCGAAACCGGGTCGAATCTACGTCGAACCCACGCCGAATCCACAACGACTCCACGCCCAAGGCGTGCCGAACCCATGTCGGAAACACGAAGCCGGCACAATCTGACAGCACGGACGGGGAAGATGCAACGCAGCAAGAGCAGGTGGGCAGAGGCAGCCTGGGCGGGGGCAGCGCCGCGCCGGGCGAAGGGGCCTCCCGCCAAGAGACAACGCCTCAATGGGCGGGGGAGGAGCTCGCCAGCGCCAGCGCGCGCGCAACGCGGCCGTTTTCCCCGGGCAGCCGACGCGCACGCGCCCCAGACATCCGGCCGCTCCCATTTTTTCGGCGCGTGGGCCCTGGAGGTCCGAGGGCCGGCTTTGCTGCCCCGGTCGTTCCTTGACGCTCTCGCGAGGCCCGGCGAAGGCCCTTCGAGGCCGACAACGGCGCAAATCCGCCCGCTACAATTCTTCTGGAGCGTCGGATCTCTGGGGCGCCACGATCCCAGCCCAGGCCGCGGGCCGCGGGCGTGCTTCCTCCCGGCGGCCGCCGGGGGGGCCTCCCTGCGGCCGCTGCGGGGGCCGGAATGGTGAGGGCCGCTGGCCGGGCGCGGCGCGCTTCTACACTCGCAAGGGGGGGGGGGGGGGGCTGGTAAAAAAAAACCTAGCGAGACGGGCTGGGCCTGGTTCGGCGCTGCAAAGGAGGGGGGTGGTGGAGGAGGAGGAGGAGGAGGAGGAGGAGGAGGAGGAGGAGGAGAGGCGGAGGAGGAGGATAGGATAGGATAGGATAGGACTCGGCCTTGCGCGTGTGCTGGGAGTACGCAGCTATGCACTGTGTGAGACACGCGTGCACAACTACTACCTCTGACAGTCGTATATCTACTATACGAGGTCAATGGTAACGCGCGCCGTGCAGCGCTCGACACACTAGTATCGGGGCTGTGCGCAAGTGTGAATTTCGCACGCGGGCTGGGGGGGACACCCCTCTGGCCCCGTGGGGCCAAAACCTCTCGGCACTGCGTGTGCCAGGTCGGCTCCCGAGGCATCTACCCAGCCCAGAGAAAAAAAAAAGACGGATCCACACCCTCCACCGAAGAGGCCCCCCTATCACCTGACACTCGGGCCCCGCAGGCATCCGATTGGCAGGCAACAGCGAGGCGCCTTCAGCGAGGGGGTGACCCGTGGAGCAAGGGATATGTATCTCGACTGACGCGGACAGCCTGCCTTCGCGAGGGTCGGGCGGGCCTCAATCAGAGTGTGCAACTGCATAGAGATAGCACTCGCGATGAAGTACATTACCATGCCCATCGAGTCGCGGAGGGAGCGGAGCAGGAGGTTACGCTCTGAAATCCCGTTCAGTGACTCTGTGGAGGTCAGCTGCACAACATCTGCGAGCGTGAACTATATATCTGGAGCGTCGATGCAATATGAATAACCACCGGGGCCGGGGAGCAACGGTGCGAGGGTCACTAACGGCGCAACGCCGGGCAGTCCCCACTCGCACCGCGCCCCCCGTTGGGTAGTCAATCCCACGTCTGTACTCTGCATAGAGATAGCACTCGCGATGAAGTACATTACCATGCCCATCGAGTCGCAGAGGGAGCGGAGCAGGAGGTAACGCTCTGAAATCCCGTTCAATGACTCTGTGGAGGTCAGCTGCACAACATCTGCGAGCGTGAACTATATATCTGGAGCGTCGATGCAATATGAATAACCACCATGGTAACGTGGCGATGAAATGCTACCGAGGGCTCGGGACTACTCTAGGGTGCAGGCACAAAGGCCAGAGCGTTATAGTCCCCTACCCTGAGCTGCAGGCCACCCGTGGGTGCCTACACGGTCCCGAAGCCCTGGTGCGGTCCCGACCGTGTGTTTGACGTTCGTTCCTTTGCTGCGATGCGTTCTCTGAGTGCCTCCATACGAGCACGCCATGGTTCCGTCAAGCCTTCTCCTTCTTGTCCTTGCCCCTGCCCTTGCCGCCGAGCT